TATGCAGGGGAGAAAAAAAATGACTTTGCTTCTGCCAGGCGAGCTTGACTTTCATTGGTTATACCTTGGTGAGAGCCATGTTATTAGCTTCTTAGATGAGGCGAGCCCGCGTGAGTTTTGAGGCGTGTGAAATTCACATCCCCATGTCGCTGTCGCGGTCTGAATTGTCTGCACGGACCAGGTGAAGGATTGCTCGGTCTCCTATGGTACTACCAATACTCACCCTTAGTCTGGCTGCATGTCTTGATCAAGATGCTCCTCATTCGTGTGAGACAGAGATGGAGAAGACTCTAGTAGGCTCCTTGGGCCGAGGCCCATTTTTTGAATAGGCTTTCCTGGTGTCTGAGTGACAACGAAGCCCATCTCTAATTCCCTGGTGCCCTTTCTGCTTCCACATCACATGGTCGCTTTGGATGTGGATCTTTTAAAGCCCGAAGGAGGGGATTCCCCTCAGAATGATGTCACTTAGACTTAGCAGAAGTTTTCTTGAAGAACTTCCCATCTAGAGAATGGGGTGTATGTCCCGCCCTGTAGTCTGCAGGTGAACAGAGAGCCCCAAATCAGCATCCGTCATTGCCCTAAGATCGCACAGCCTTTATCACTTCACCGGTGTGCTCACCCCTAGATCGTGGTGTGTGATGTTTGGGCTGCCTTTCATAGCCTCCGCAGCTGGGAATTCAAGATGCTATACTTAGGCAGAAGTCCATGAAGGAATTAATTGATACGAGCCAGAAGTTGATTGCCATTTAAGTGCTCAGCCTCCAGCATTGCCAAGTTTCCCTCTTTGCAGAAAGAACCGAGCTTGCCTGTAAACTGGCTCATTCAGGATGTGAGCATAAGATGGAATTCAACCTTTAATATGCTGCAACACCTGTTTGGAAATAAAGGGGCCCTGTGCTTTTCCCCCCAAGGAGTTGACAGCTGACTTCATTACCGAGGAATCTGGCGGAGATGGTCGTGGCTACTCCTCAGCCTCCCGAGGCGCTCACCCAGGAATGTGGTGCCAGCGAGACCTGAGCATTGGGAGCCTGCCAGAAACCCATGCTGAGTCATTTTGCCCTAAATCATCCCTCTTCCTTGGACTCTGGAAGTTTTCAGGACGTCTGGTAGAGCTCCCTCCACACAAGGGAGCCGGTGAGAGGCTCTGGCCTGCTGAAGCTAAGTGGAGAAGCGTTTGCAGGTGTTCTCTAGTGGGATCTGGTTTTCCAAACTTCCTTTCTCAAGGGTTCTGCAATGCTGCGCCCCCAAAGGCAGAGCTGCCATGCTCTATAGCGGGGAACTTGAGGGTTCACTGGAGTCCTTGTCAGGGTCCTGGAACAGACCAACGCTGTTCCAAGGAGCCTAATAAGCCCCTGGGGGATCCCGAGAGGCTGTCTCTGGTGCCACTTCCTTCCGTTTGGGCTGGAACCCTGACTCTGCTTATCAGCTTTCCATGTAGAATGTCAACCCATTTGCATGGTTCCAAAAGCGTAGTAATCTGGCCTCCATTAACAGCAGACAATAGGGCATTATCTGACTCGAAACAGAGAATATTGACTTTCTACCATTTGTTATCCTTCATCATTAAAAAAAAAAAAATCTGCTTGAAATCTCAAAGTCCGGGGACAGCAGTGGACTTACAGAGAGCACATCCAGTTGGTAGATTGTTGCCCAACCTGAAGCAACGTAACTATGGGGGCTATAGAGCAGCTTTGAAAGTGCCTGGGCTATTAATTTAAAACAAAGCACAACTCAAACTTTTATGTGCCCCCAAATCACACGATTCTTTGAAAACAAACATTTTAAATAGTCTGGAATGAGAATAATTCGGAAAAAAAAAAAAGGAATAATCGATGCCAACGGTCAAAATCGGCAATCCAAGAGTCGGACCTGGCCTGAGAAGTGTGTCTCATGTGGCCCACATGGCGGGGGGCAGCGGAGTTTGAATACATACCGGAGTAGGTGCCAACATTTAGAAATTGGCACAGGGCACGTCCCCACCCGGATTGCTGGCTCCTCCAGAGACACTGGGCAATCTGGCCTCACAGGCTGCTTCCCCTCCAGGCAACAGTTGGGGCAGGTGACGGAGCATTTGCTCTCCAGGTTTCCAGAGTCCCTGCCGGGCTGGATCTCTGTGGCACTGGTTTTGGCATCCTGGACCAGGTACAGAGTTGTGAGGTTCTGGGTCATTTCCCCCTTTTTCCTAAATTTGTGACTGGTTATTAGGTTCTTTAGAGTTAGAGTCATCGTTCCATGCCCCGTTATAAAAGGTACTGTTGAGGGAAGTGAGTCTGAGACCCATCCTAACCCTCTACTCCTTGGAGGTTATTTTCAAACTTTCGGTCTTGAGTCCAGCACACCGGCCGGAGAATGTTAGCTCGGCCCCGTCTAGAATCGCCTGGGGCACTTCTGATGTCCAGCTTGCATTCTAGACCAGGGAAGCCAGACTCTCTGGGAGTGAGATTCAGGCAGTAGAGTTTTTCAAAGTCCTCTAGGTGATTCCAATGTAAAAGGTCCTTGAGAAATCAGAGAAAACTTCGAATTAGAGCAGTTTTTCAGCCTCGGCACTATTGATTGACATCTTGGAGCGGACAACTCTTTGTTCTGGGCACCTGTGCCGTGGGGTGTGGGGTGTTTAGTGGTGTCTCTGGCCTCTACCCATAGACGCAGTAGCGCTCCTCCAGATGACACCCACTCCGTTAGATCATAAAATTATGGTCAGGAAGAGTGGCTATCGTGTTGGCCCCCTGCCCATACATCAGGGCTTTCAGCAATTTCTTTTGGAATTAAGTACTGGGAAAAAAAAAATCTCTCTTAAAAAGCTGGTCTATTCCTTCTTTTCTGTTCGTTTTTTTCTCCCTTTGCTAGTAGGAAGCTCAAAGTCAATGCCAAAACACATTCAATACCGAGGTTGCAGCGCAAAACCAGGGAAGTCTTGAGTGTATTTTCTCCTCTCTGCATCATGCTGATTTTCCTAATAACATTTTACTAATCTCTAAGTTGCCTCATATTCTTAGGGAATGGAGTAGGAAATAAATATAAACAAGGCAACAAACACAAGGAGGGACTGGCTGTTCCTCGCACGGCTTCGTCGACGTGAGCCAACAAACCAGTGGTCGTAAGGAGGAACCTGCTCCATTTGAATGACCTGGTCCTCCGCAGAGCATATGGAGCAACTAAGGTCAACTCCTTCGGCCTCCAGCTTTGCCTGGGAAGAGGCTGAACTGGGTGTGTCAGGGGAACCCAGTGGCCAGCTGAGGGACAGCCTCTAGGAGAATAGATACTAGACTCTGCTGCTTCCTGAGAGTCTGGGAGGTCTCTAAGAGTCGAGGCTCTGAAAGGCAACTTGGGATCCATCCCTGGGACAACAGCATCACCTGCTTTCCGTGAATGAAGAGCACCTTACTTTTAGTGAAATATAACCCACTCGTTAATACCAGCAGTTTTAAAGCCTTTAAAAAAAATCATTAGTAAGCGTGGCTATTTCATTTTAAATGCAAAATCCTTGAATAGACCAGAGATCTTAATTTTTTTTAAATATAGCTGAGTATTTTAATTATGAATGTACTTGCATATTCTCAGCATACTTCATTATTTATGTAGCTGGTGAAAAAGCTTTTTAATTAAATAGCATGCTGGCAATCCATTGTGAAACGTATAGATGTAGGTTTTCCTTGCATTAAAAAACTAAATACACACACGGAACACGGGCCAGCACGCATACTTTAATCACCATGAGGTATTTGTTTCTGAAGGATCTTAAAATTTGACCAATTTCTTCACTGGTAACAAAATAAATAGTCGAATTTTCCAGCTCTCTGCATGGCTATTCAGATTTAATGCACTCAATTAATTTGGAGATGGAGTAGAGCGGCGGTTCTCAAAGTGGGGCCCTTACACCTGCAGCAGCGGCATCACCTGGGAACTTCTTAGAATTGCAAAATTTGGATGGAGCCCACCCCAGGCCCAGTGAATCAGCGATTCTGGGTGTCGGGGGGGCCCCCTCTGCTATCAGAGCCCTCCAGGTGATCCTGAGGCAGGCGAAGGTTTGGGAACCCTGGGTGAGCGTTCTGCCTGTGGTGCCCGCAGTCTGGTTCTCACGCCCAGGGCCCCTGCTGACGGGCAGTCACCACGGAGTGAATGAGGCCATGCTTCCGCCCCCCCCATCCAAAAAGTGCTGTTGAGGATTCTCACTCCTTTGAGGTTTAGAGGGCCTGCTCGAAGTCCTCAGAGTTTCAGAGAGGTTAAAAAGAGTCATCGTGAGTGAAATACATTAAGCCTGACGTGGTTGAGAGTTGCCCATCAATATCAGGTGCAGACTTACCAATTTTGACGAAACACGGATACTAGGACTCAACTCAGGCATTGCCATTCTCTCCTTTCCCACCACAAAAAGGCTCTGACTTTAGAGCTCCGGCCCATGGCGCATTTTGTCGCCGGCTGCGGTGCCAGCTATCTCCCAGAGACGCCCCGCCCGTGTCCAGGCTGATGACCAGGCTGCGCTGCCGCCCGTGGCCGGGAGCAACCAAGGCCAGGAGGCGAGTGATTTGGAGAAGGCCACAGCAGGAGTCAGCGGCAGAACTAGCTAGCACCAACAGCCGCCCGGCTCCCCGCTCTGTGCTTTGTCTTCTGAATGAACAAAGCTGCGTCTTAAGTACACATGAGCCAAACTGCCTTTCAAATTGCAGCCATCTACTTGGAGTTCAGATTTGCACAGCATGACATGAATTGGGCTGCAAATTATGCAGAAAACAGCCATCACATCCATCTGTGATGTCAGAATCCTCCAGTACAATGTGACCTGGTAGTATCTGGGAGAGGAGACGCATATTGGGTCTGATTCTTTCCCTATGCAGTACGATGAATATCCTCCCGGCTGCATTTGGCCCAGTGTGAAAAGGTTAAATATGATTGAGGTTATGCCTGTGATAAGCTCAAGAGCAGACTTCACTTCCAAGATTTTTTTTTTTTTTTTTAATGGTAGAGGAACTAGAAAAAGAAAACACACAAATACGCTCATACCTAATGGTAAACTGAATTTATTTCCTCTTGGAAAACAATTCCAGTAATCTCCAGGTTCAGACCGCAGAGTAAACATTAATAACAGTAACATACAGGTTAGTTCAACTGATTCAAGAATTTGGCTGTGTGAAATCATTAAGGAAAACCTTGAACACTCAAAGCTTCAAATGTATCCAGGAAAAAAAAATCTTTGACAGTCTACATTACAGCTATTGCATATATAGTGAAGCTACCTGTCACATTGCAAGGCTTACAAATATATATACGGGCCTTATCCAGCTGTGGGGTGCTGTTCTGTGAGGACATCTCTTCGTGGTCTGCGAGAATCTTCGGCAATAAAAAATAGTCTTGGATTTAACCGTTGATATACCAAAAGAGAAATTCTAGGCTTAAGGGTAAATAAAAGGAAGTCCAAACATAGTCTCATTTGTAACGGCTGTTTTAATCTGTCTTCCTCGAAAATACTTTCTCTTAAGCCATTTTGCTCACATTTTTTTTTTTTTTATCTTGCCTGAATAGGGCCCAAGTCCACTTGTCTTTATAAGACCATTTTAGTATCAGACGACATAATACATGTGCAACACTTTATATACAAGGAGTCTATCCGGTGCTCAAAAGTTCAAACACATGAACATCCAACAGTTTTGATAATACAAGTTTTATGGTACAATACAATGTTTCTGAATATTATACATTAACAATGAAAGTTTCGTGCAAAGAGTAAAACATGTTCCCTTTTTGTGCCACAAAAGTCATTCTCCTTGAGAGACCGTACTTGCACTAACTGCTGTGTTGGGTCATCGTATGGTTCTGTAACAAAAAAGAAAGAGGGGAAAAAAACACTTAAGTGATCTTATTGTCATCAGACCAAGGATCTATACATGCTGGTTGACTGATAAAGATGTGAACTGTGTTTCTGCACCCCCCTCTGGAGAGGTGCTCGTGGGGACCCCCAGTGAGTACCGGGAGGGAGGGGCAGGGCCAGGGGCCTCTGGGAGGTGAGATGCCTGGCCTGTACCTTTCCTTTTTTCTCTGCTTCTGCCCGGCCTTCCCATAATCCCCTCCTACCTTCCACCATCTCTTCTTATCAAAGTAAGACCTGTTTTTCAAAGACCAGGGTAGCACGATTTTAACAGTTTTACTTATCACTGTGTTATTTCCCTTACAAAAGCTTTAGGTCTCACCACTCTTAGATGGAAACATCTTGACTGCAGAGGCCCTATCTGTCCCTGAATATGGCCTTTACAGGCAAGGGCTGCCTGGCCAATAACCCACAGAGGGGGCAAGAAGCTTCTCTGGCTCCTCTCCCGGGTTTGGGCTCGGGGCTATCACTCCGAGGCTCAGGCACACATTAGGCAGGCGCAACCACCCCCAACCCCAGCTGAAGCAGCCTTTGCGGTACTTGGGTTGTCCACTCTCCATCCACACAGCACGTTCCCTTTCTGAGTGGACACCCTCTTTCTCAACGGTGAGAGGCCAACTGTATACATGGACCTGCAGCCTATGATGGAGGATGGCCCAGACCCAGGGCATTCATTCGAAGCCTAAGTCTGCAGATGGCCTGATTTCCCCCTTCCCTCTTCTGCGTTTCCCCTGAGCCAGGGTCTCCCACCTGTCAGCTTACATACCGTCCCTTGCCCGATCCCTTCTGCTCAGAACCTTGAGGTCTAGCTCAGAATACAACCACTTCCATGCTCATCCCATCGAAAACCGATTTCTCCCTCCTCTGATTTCCTCCTGAGTTATACCGCTCAGAGTTCATACCTTAGGTCTTCTGGTTATTTGTAGGCCTGGCTCTCTCCTTAGGCCAGAAATTCTGGTGTTCATTCATTTATTCATTCCTTCACAAACATCTGTTGAACACTGTATCACCACCTGGCGTGGCCCTCAGCAACGCCACCTTCGTAAAGACCTGGCCAAATGAATGACTGACTAGCTAGGCAAGGGCTACTGAAGGGCACGGGGTGGCCCCTGCCTTGATGCCTTCCAAGTGCACAAAGTCTAAAGAAGAAAGGCACATGGGCACAAAATGGCAAAGCAATATGGCAGGATTAGGTCAGAAATGAACACAGAAATGCCACGACAACACCTAACCCTGCCTGGCCTTTGGAGAAGGCTTCGCAGTGGAGGTAACACGTGACATTTGAGTTGAGGCTGGAAACATGAGAACACATTGGGCACTCCAGGCCAACACATTCACATGAGCAAAGGCAAGGAAGCAAGAATACACAAGGTGTGTTGGTGGACCTGCAACTCGTTCGGGTTGGATGGAGTCTCCTGGAGTGTCCTGAACTGAGAGTACCGATGAGAAAGGAAGACGGAGGGCATTTCGGGGTCAGATTATGAAGAGCCTTTTGTACCTTGCTAAGGAGTTAAGACCTTGTCATGGAGGTGAAGGGCAGCCATGGGAGTTTTTTAAGCAGCGTTTTTAAGCCTTAAAGATCTTCGTTATCTCTTCATTACCCACAACTAGCAAAACTGCCTGCTCTGTGTATACTTGATGAACGACCAGATGCTTGCCCAGTCAGGGCTGAGAGCACCAGTGAGGGAGATGGGAGATTTTGTGAAGAGGACCAAGCTTTCCAGTCTCCGTTTCAAACTTAGCCCATTTTTGGAGCCTGGCAACAAATAATGATGAGGAACATTATGTCACTCTCTCTTATTGAAAACAAAGCAAACCTATTTTTATTAACTCAGTGATTCAGCTGGATCTTTTTCTTTTCTTAGTAGCACTAGCCTAAGTGCACACAGGAACAATTTTTATGCTAATCCTTTTTCTTTGTATCAGTTTCCAAATACTTCTGAAAATTATTTTTCACCAACAGGTAGAAAGGATAATCAAAATACTGATGAGACCAAAAAACTTTCCTACTTCCTTAAAAATAAACACAATGATGATCAGAGAGTTTATAAACAATACAAAAGCTCATCTGCTCCAAATATTGTATCTGAGCTTTCTTACACCTTTTGTTATCTCAGAGTCAAGTCTGATCAGGGTTTTCACTGGTAACAAAAGTTACTTAAATGATGGGACACTGATGGGTGGCGGGAGATTTTTTTTTTAAACCATAATCAAAGCTAAAAAAAAAAAATCAATTTAATAACATTAGGTTTAAATGTGTAAGCGCCTACAATAGACATTCTGCATTGGATAGGATTCTAGAGGTTAATAAAGGAAGATATACTGCAATCTCTCCAGTGTTGTTATGTGTGCCTCTGTTGAGATGCTGCAAAACAAGAACCTAACACAAATTGGCTGTAATAGTTGGCAGGGGTTGGGTCTCAGACGCTCTCATCCTAAACCAAAGCCATAGAAGCCTCTTCAGAGGTGCAGGGAAATGAACAAATGCATATGAATCACTTATTGCAATGGACCGAAGTTGCTACTATAAAGGAGTTATGCTTTGCATATTAACAGAGAAGAAGATAAATCATTTGAGAGAAGGACAAGATTATGGCGTGTGAAATTCAAGCTTACACAAACATAAAGAGCCCTAATAGAAATAATGTCTAAATGGGAAATCTGGCATAAAACATGGTAAAAGCAGAAAGTTCTCTTGGTGTAGAGATACCAATTGAAATCAATTATTGTCATTTTTTTCCTCCTCCTACCCCACTTTTTTTTTTTAAGATTTTATTTATTTATTTGACAGAGAGAGACACAGCAAGAGAGGGAACACAAGCAGGGGGAGTGGGAGAGGGAGAAGCAGGCTTCTGGCCGAGCAGGGAGCCCGATGCGGGGCTTGATCCCAGGACCCTGAGATCATGACCTGAGCTGAAGGCAGACACTTAATGACTGAGCCACCCAGGCACCCCCCACTTTTTTTTTTTTTTGCTCCAGCTCAAATGAGGGCTGAGTTAAGTCTGGCTCACCCCAGCCCGTCCTGGTGGTGAACTGTCCCGTCCTGGTAGTGACTGTCAAGATGGGAAAGGGGCACCCTGCTAGGTGGTCTTGGGTAATGGGCGTATGTGCTTTGACAACAAAAGAAAGGCAGTCCTCAAAGGCTTTCCCTCACCACCTTTGGGGATCCCTGGGCTGTGTCTGCTCCCCTCCCCCACACTTTATTCTGAGTCACTGAAAAGAGAAATGGCCCAATTTCATTTTCTGAAGGAAGGAATGGGTGTCTGAACTGCGCAGGTTGGGTTGGCTTTCAGGGGTTGGAGAGAACAGACTGACAGTGAGAGTTTCTAGACTTCACTGAGGATCCTCTGATAAGCGAAACAAGAAGTTGCTTCATGGGAACCCTCTGTGTATTTTTTTTTTTTTAACTCATAGACATGATTTCTTTCGAAAGGGAGAAAAAGGAGCAAATGGGAAAGATGCACAGTAGAGAAGAGAAGCACTAAGCACAAAGCAAGGGTAGGCCACGAGCGCGGTTCCCTCTTGCTTGGGCTCTTTCCATGACATGGGGCCGGTCCTGAGTCACCGCAGGACCAATGCGGATGCCCAGAGAGGAAAAGAGGCTGCCAGGCCGCCAGCAAGCAGCCTTCTCGGCTGAGAGTTTTGTGCTCTTTATGTCCAGAGGAAACCACGACACTAGAACACAGCAGTGGGTCACCTCACCACTTTTGCCCTGCAAGTCACAGTCCCCAAAGTACTTGAATGCAATGACAGCTTATGAGGAAAAAGATCTGTTCCAGGGAAGGGAAAGTGTTTTACATAATCGAGGAGAACATCAGCGCGAGTCGACGGGGGCATGTGAGGGGGTGACGATAGAAAAGGAAGTGGGAAGAGAAGAAAACTTCTGAAATCCCACAGAGAGCCATATTCTACTCTACAAAAAGCCATCTCTTGGAGACCCCATGTCTAAGTAACTGAAAATTGCAAACCATTAATCCCAGTTATGAACAGTTGTTTTACACAAGGGGGGCTTATGTTAAAAAAAAAACAAAACAAAACCCCGAATCCACAGCCACCTGAAGCTTAAAAGAAGATCCATCTGGGTAGGATACCTTAATAGCCAGGTTTCAAAAAACCCCCACTCTCCTTACTGTAAAGGGCCCCATTTGGGAGGAGCATGTTCTTTTTTTCCCTGTAAATGTGAAATTAAACTTAGAAAGCTAAAAAACAGGCAAGGATCTTCAAAATTCCCTTCTAGCACTATGTATTTCTTTTAAAATACGAGATGCCTTTCATTTTACAAGGCTGGAATTCTCATTTGGAGCTTGGCACTCTAACAAATGATTAATTCAGCCTCCTCCTTTCTGAGAGCTGACCACATTTACTGGTCAAACGGTTTAATCCTATTTAAAATGCAATCCAAGCAAAATATTTTTGAATAAAAATAAAACCCCATGATCTCCTGAAACTGCTCACCTTGGCCAAGTTATCCCATTTTCCTGCGATCTTGATGTGAACTGGAATATTGGCACCAGTAACAACGACAAAGTGAACCTTTGGAGGAAAGCCTGGGGAATCTACCTTCCCAGGGAGCAAAAATGAAGTCCCCGCCCCCAAAAGTTGTGCCCACAGATTGCCCTCGCTTGTCCAATATTTTGGCAGGGGACCACGTCTCGTCTGTGCTTTGTAACTCTCTGTTGGCATCGGCAAAATGTTAAGTAGCAATGGTAATAAAAATAAAAACTGCGTTTGAATGGAAGTTTTGTGCGATCTGTTGATTCAAAGATGTTAATCATTTTCACCATGACTTGTCTATTTATAGCCCTTTGTCTTGAACAAATTCTGACAAGCTTTTAAAACTAAGAAAAAGAGCCAGCATGCTATTTTAAAAAGGAATGAAAAAAAAAAAACCCAAAACAACAAACAACAAGCTTTCCACTAATTCACCATGCCATTAGAATCCCGAATT